CTTCGAGCTTCGCAGGGAGCCAAGACCACAAATAAAGTTGACCACGGATTCAAAGCGGGAAAATGAGAATTTAAGAGCTCCTTGAGCACTTCAATTTCCCCAGTTTTGCCTGGATACACTCCTCGATGAGTTCTACAATAAGCAGCAGGAGCGATCGCAAGAGTGAGCACACAGCACTTTCTCTGATAAAGCGTTTTCATGCTGCTACCGTCCAGTATAAGGGCTAATATTCCGAACTAATTAGTTATAAATGCTCACCATTTGTGTGCATTGCATAAGTGGAGGATTTTCTCATTTGTACTGCATGCACACCGTAGCTGAATAGCGTTAGAGACATGAGAAATTCTGAAGAAACTTTAGGATGGCATAAGCAATTGACGCGGCCCATTTTCTTCAAAAGAAGAACAGATCAATTCGAAATCAACGCGTTAATGCATAAACCGTCGACAACACCATCTTAGTTTTTCGAACGGTGCTGAAGTGTGCGGGATTGGGCCCGAAAAGGTTGCTATGCGATTTACGACCATTTCCCATACAGGAAAACTAAAAAGGTCAGGGGGTGGCATATACAATTGTCGCGCACTGTAGGCCACATCGCATTCAAACGCCACTACGAATGTACAAATGGAAGTAGAATGCGTGCCGCATCCCAAAAAGGGATTGATCAACGGCAAATGCTTTATCCTTTATCCTTTTATCTTTTTTTTCATTTTGCTACGCGCCACGCCACTCGAATCCCAATCCGAGATCGTTGAGCATGTGTGCTATTCGTACCTCCCGACAATGCGACTTGCTACGGCGGTCGCTGTACGAATGGTTTTCTCGGACGAGTCTGACATTGATTAATCGAAAAAATGGGAAGATGTGATAGTTTTGTGGTTTTTTGGACACTTTTTCCCTCTATAAATTCTTCCTTAGATCTGTTGCTATCGTTCACTTGATTCCTTCCGTGTCGGTAGCGTTTCAGAATAAGTGTACACACTGTAAATTGCAGTAATTGGGCTCTTTGACGCGAAAATGTGTCCGTGCTATCTTCGCGGATCGATTCGCTTATACAAACCCATAACACGCACTCATCGGAAGTCGGCCAATTGGTTATGGACTTGCTTTAGAGGACAGAATCGTGGTTAAGTCTTGCAAAAATGTCGTTTGCATCTGTGTCATTCTTCGAAGGCTGGTGGGGGACGGGAAGGAGAGGAGAGTGTAGAGGGCGTATGGATAGAACTTTGCAAGAACTCCTCTGCGTGACTTACAGTTGCGTTGTTTTCTGGCTTTCTTGAAGTCAGTGACTAGTCAGCTACATTTCATTCACTGAGCGAGAATTGGCTAACGCAGTAAGAAAATGGCAGTCGGTTCTTTTTCTTCTTCTTCTTCTTTTTCTCTCTCTTTAGCATGATCGCCGCGCACGGCGTTACGTAGATTCTCTTACCGATGAATATTAACCAGTCCGACGATATCAAGTATACAACGCGTTCTCGAATTTAAAGGAGGAATTCACGATTAGAATGAAGGTCGAAGAAAGGGAAACTGACCTAGTGACCTAGTTGAGGGACCCACGGACCTCCTGAGGGTGCGAACTGACGCGCAATTCGCATGGAAAAATTTGACCTCGGCGACCTATCATGCCTCAAAGCTGGCGGGTCCGGCGATCTCCGCCCACCGATCATCTGATCACTCGCCGTAGTTCAATACGTGGCGAGTGATTAGATAGCTGAGAGAGCGTAGTGTTGAAGAGGGCACAGCGATGAGAGTCGCATCAATGCTCGAATCAACGGGCAAGGAAGGGGTACCATTTCTCGGGTTCTGGGCCGTTTCTCATGGTTCTTCCTTCTTTCGTGTACCACTCACCATCCCTAGGTTAATTTGAAATGGGTTGCTTTTTCATCGTGAATTCGTCCTTTAAGTTCGATATTTTCTAGGCTGCTCTTTATTTGGCTCATCAACTGTAATATTTTATTGGATGGGCTAAACAATTGAGCGAAGCTTGACAAGAGTATGTTGTCGAGAGTGAAGCTTTCCTGATATTGTGTCCAGCTTGTAGTTTCCTTCTGAAATGCTATGAACTCTCTGGTGTCATTCCTGTCTATTAAACGTTCTTGTTGTTGCTAAAGCCAAATTTATCACTTCGCACTTTTTGTTATTGGTAGCCAATTGTTGCTCGTTCAATTGAAAGCAATTACAAAGCTGAAGAAATCAGCCACCTTCCTCCAAAACTCAGAGTATTAGCTGCAATATAAAGACATGTTTTCGAAGTCACTAACGATACACATGAGCTTGCAGCTTCCAGTTTTCTCCCTCAGTGACCTGTCACAGATACCCTGGCGAGTGTAGCCGGCTCTCACATATCAGTGAACGAACCCTTGTCAGCTACTGTCCACCCGCTCTCATATGTTCAGGAAACTCGTCTCTTAGCTACTGATTACCTGTAGTGATTTAAATAATACGGTGTCGAGATCCGAGCACACTGCACTCATTTTTGGGTGGCGATTAACTTGGACCTTTCCGCGGTTAAATTCAATGGGCAGGCTATAATATCATTCTCTGGGAGGTCGATCACCTCTTAGATGGCCTTTTGTCAGAAATCAGGAGATCCTTACTTTTTTCTCGCTTGTACTCACCCAAGTTACTTTTCATGCTTTGACGTCCGCAACTTTACGTTTTTTTTTTGAAATTTCATAAGTGTGCTGTAAAGCGCTGAATTGGGGCGAGACGATCCCTCATCCAAACCATGAATGGTCGAGGGACTACTTGAACTCAGTCCTTTAAACCGCCTCTGCGCTCTCTCGCGGGTCCCTCTCCTCTCCAAGGCTTAGTCCTAGGGCATTCACCCGTTCTCTAATCGTCTGTGCTCTAGCCATCGCGGCAGGACCATTGAGGAAAAATCAAGTAGTCCGTAACCATCCATGAATGGTCTATTAAATCGCTTTGAACTACGCAGATGGCAGTTTGAGACGCCTGCATCTATGTAAAAGGTCAATGCCTTGTCGCAAGCTGGAATTGTTCATCTCATTTTCACGGTTCACAGACAGTCATCACGGTTCTTGATAGAAGCTATGTGGATAAGCTGCTTCCAACATACATCGCTGGATATCAGCAAAGCATGCTGGCAACAGCTTATCCACGCAACTTCTATCAAGTGCACGTCACTTCCGGTGACACGCCTACCCCAACTTTCGGATATCGACTGTATAATGAGATAGATAGCTAACAGAATACAACTGCAACCAATTAATTCCCGTGAGGCGGTCATATGGCGCGATCCCATTGGCATTAGAGCGCACAGGCCGCAATTGCCCCATCCTGCTGGTCTCCGGACATCTGTCAACCGTGAGGCTAGGCAATTCAGCGTTTTGTTGTGCTGTCTGGGAGCTCTCACACAAGCGCACTATTACAGAATCTCCGCTTTCTTTACCTCCTTCAAAAGGCTTAGTCCCACTACCACAAAGAACGTCTGCTTTTCCTTCTACACTCTCACCCCCTGGTTGACAGAAGCCTTGTAACCCATCCTGCTGCGGTTGGACAACTCGTCCGTATCACTCAACTACCAGACTTCTGTAATTGATCGATCTGATAATTTGGGTCTCAAAAATCTCGCTGAGTCCCAAGGATTTAAAAAAGAGCGGATAGCTTCGCTGGCCTAATGCCAAGGCAAGAGGAACGGAACAAAATGCGTTGCGTGGACGAGTTGTCCGAAGAAGTTGCGCGGGTAAGCTGCTTCCAACACGCTTTGCTGATATCTGGCGGAGTATTTTATCCACACAACATCTATCAAGTGCGGTGGCTGCCACGTCATTTCCGGTGACACGCCCAATCAGACTTCGAGATATCGACTGTAATTCCCTGTCGGTTGTCAACGGATGCGAGACAAGAGTCCCCTGAGGTCGCCGCGCTAGCGAAAGTAGGTCACCGCACGCGGCGGCTACCGGTTCTAACAAGTTGGAACGTGGCAATTTGCTAGGACTAAGCAAAAACAAATGCAGAAATGGGGACTACACAGACGGAACAAAAAAGTGTTGTATCGAACGTCTAGAGAGGTGGGTCCTAATAAACTTGGACAATTGCCATGTTTCAAACTGCAAAAACCGCGATCGCCACGTCGCGGCCGCGAGTGGACCTAATTTTTGGATCGTGGGGTGAGGAGGACTCTTGACCGTCTTCCGTTGTCAGCTTTTTTTTTCAATTGTGGTGTCTGGTCTGCACCCAACGCTTTCTCGCTTTTTGAAGGGGAGGGTAAGTTTCTCTGCCCGTTCGTCCGCAAAATGAAGGGAGTGATAAGGCAGCTAATGAAATTAACAGGCCGCTAGCAATTCTGAGTAGCTCGCAGATCTTGTCCTATCAATGCTTTGCAATGGCATGATTGTGCATAAAAACACCCTAACGGCTATATAAAATCTAACCTCCTTTAAAGCGAGAAAGTGTCGGGTGCAGACCAAACACCACAACTGACGACGGCCTCCAAGTAAATCTGGTTAGAAGTTGTTCATAGTGATAGCTGATTTCTGGTAAATGATAGTTGTAATTAGTGACAATCGATAGAATACAACTGCAACAGGCTAATCATTTCATTGGCAGAAAACATTAACATTTTGTGAAGGCCGTCGTCACTTGTGGTGCATGGTCTGCACCCGACACTTTCTCGCTTTTTGAAGGGAGTTTACGCAGCACACTTCCGGTCATTTCACGAGGTCTGCAGTGGCAGCCGGAGAATAATGTAGGAGGGGGGGGGGAGGGTGAGGGACACAAAGCTTACACAAGGAAGAGAGGTTCCCTCAGCGAAAAATCTTTCGCGCTGCGGAGCGCGAAAAATTCGCTTTCTGTCCTAGTGAACCACACCCGGCGGTTGCTGGGGACTATTCTGATGTTCTATAAAATGATAAACTTACAGGATGCTTGATTTTGCAACCTTGGTTCATTACTCCGAATTCCTTGTGCGTACGTGCTATGCTTTGCGAGCGAGAAAAATTCTGCACTTCAATTACAGTAATAGCATTTTCAGGCCAATGCGGTGGCTAATTTTGCTACTGCTGGTCGTCGGCTGCCGAGCCGAGGAATGGGACGCCTACAACTTCCCGAATCCGACAGCTGGCGAGTTCAGAGAGTGCAAAATGAAGACAACCGCGAACATTTGCGATCCGGATGGAGTGCTTTCCGAACAAGCTCGATATCGACTTGATCACGATTTGAAGCAGCTAGAGAGCAGAACTCGGCAGGTGTGTTGAAGACACTGATCATAGACCGACAGATTTCTGGCGGGATAATTTTTTTATCAATGGGTTTTTCTTAGTTTCTTGTATGTAGCTTATGCGCTTGCAGCATATGCTTGTTCATGCTGCATCATGCCTAGCACATCACGTTAGATGTTTTGCTTCGAAATATTGCTTAAAATATGGATGATTTAATTTCGGCGCCTGGTAAATTGGCATCTCTTTTCTCATCTTGGGTTTCTAGAACGATTCGAATTATGAACACCGTCTAATTTTTCAATATCCTCCTGTTTTCAATTTGACATGGTGTAGATTTGCATCCGCAAGTATTTGCAGGACCACGCTAAAACTTTCTGTGACAAGAAGGGTGTGACAGCAGCAATGGCAGTGGCTCGGCATGTCAAAGGAGGTTCAACGGAGGTTCGTTCATATTGAATAATTTTTTCTTCATTGGTACACGTTGTTTCTCATGAATGAGGTGTGCTCGATTAGATCTTAGATCAAGGACAGCCGGACAAATTTCACTTCAAGGAGCTAAGCGAGTGAGAATAGGTATTATGCGGTACAATCGGTTCATTTACACCTTGTGAAGTTTGAGGGTGTTCGGTGTGAATGTAGGTAATCGAGTGCGGGAGTCTGGGCACTTGTCAGACTTCGCGACCCGCGAAGCTGCGATTCACTTCCGATTGGTCGCAAAATATGAAAAATGTGTCAATTTTTGAGGCATGATCTAGTTCCCGTTTTTTCACTTGATGGGTTCAGGGTGAAGAAGGGGTTGAAACACGTCAGAATGATAGAATTTTCCCTGAAGAAAGATGCTGATTCGTTTACTATCAAACAAATATAACTCGAAAATATAATCGTAATCTCTCTGATCCTCCAGTTCTTCCAAAGCGCTTAGCATGACTTAGTCTGGCAATCTAACGAAGAAAGGAGAACACAGCATTGCTTGGCAGTTGGATTGGTTTTCATATCATTCGGATGTTTTGATGTTTCACGATTAAAAGTACAAGATTAAGGGCAGCCCGTTTTAGTTGATCACAAATTCCGAAAATATAAAAATATCAATGATACCAAGGGTAGTGTTGACCCTTTTTATAACTGATAGTGGGTTGCAGTAGGTCAATGGACTTTGGATGGTGTTGAAAGCGAGGGTGTAGAATAAAGGTGAGCAACGTTCACTTGAGCGTGTGGGAGCGATTAGACAAACTAAGCATAGCAGCCTGGCACCTACTCCCGCTTCTGACGTCTAGAGGAAGGAGGGCTGTCGGGAAATTCGAAGCAATATAATCACAGTATTGAGCTCTTTTTGGACACTGAGCGATTGATATTCTTAATTTCCATTTTCCAGGCAGTAAAGAAGATGGCAAACGATATGTTGGCGAAGTGGACACTAGATCCTCAGTGTCAGAAGGCTGTTGTTTTTGTGGTTGGTTCGATGTTTCTCT